TCAGGTGGAGGGTCTCCAAGGGAGTCTGCAAGCAACTGAGCAGTAGGTGGAAGCAGTTATTAAAGAAAATGACAGAGTTCAGGATGAGGTGCTGGAGCTGATGGAGACTGAGGAGCTGAGAGGTGAATTGGTCAAGTAGCTTCAAAATTGTGGGCAAGTAAGATATCCAGCCCATCTAGTTTATCCGTTATTTCATGGGGAGACTTAGAACCCTCCAGTAGAGTCCCCAGGGTGAGGCGAATGAAGTGCCAGGCCCAAACCATGGCCTTCACTGTCTCTTTGTGGCCCCCAACAACAGCTGTCATGAATAGGAGTGTGTAGAGATCTCAGGGCAGCCAGTCCAGAGCATCAATGGCTGAGGACTCGCTCTGCAGCACACACTGGATGGCAAGGTCCAGGGGGCCTAGGTAGGTTCCTTTTTCTCATGCTGATTATTCTGTTCCAAAAGGAGTCCTGACCTTCCTGACAGGATTGGTGAAGACAACATGGACGCATAGGCAAATGTGGTGAAGAAAGCTGATGGTGCCCAGCTATCAAAAGATATAGCATCTGGGGTCTGAAAGGCTTGAAGGCAAACAAATGGTCATCTAGCTGAGAAGCAACCAACCCACGTGAAAGAGCACAGCAGCCTTGTGTCTAGGAAATAGGTCTAGGAACTGGGCAGCAATTGTAGGTTCACAGAAGCACTTGATCCAGCTCAGTTCTCTTGATTGTAGTCCCCCTGTTTCATTCTTCTGCACGTGGATATCCAGTCTTTCCAACATCATTTATTGAAGAGAGCGTCTGTTTCCTATTCAATGTTTTTTGGGCCTTTCTCAAAAATCAATTGTCTGTATGCTGATGCTTTTTATTTCTGGGTTTTCTGTCCTGATCCATTGCTCTGAATATTTATCATTATACCTGTACCAGGGTGTATGACAACTGTGGTGTATAGTAGGTTTTGAGGTCAGGTAGTGCAAGGCCACCTACCTTGTTCTTCTTTAGGAGTCCTTTGCCTATCCTGGTCTTCTTATTCTTGATGTCATTCCACAACTCTTATGGGTTTCAACCATCATTGATCATTTTGTGAAAACTGCTCTTGATATGATCACTACATTTAATTGGGATATACTCAAGGGCATATTCGGACTTTTTAAAAACATTTTCTTCAGTTTCAATCTGAACTTATATATGACTAATTGATGGTGTTTTCTACAGTAAGACTCTGGCCTAGTTTTGGATGATGATATTGTGCTTCTTCATCATCTCCTCTACAGCTGTAGTGAGTTTGATTCCTAGGTATTCCATCTAGTGAAATATATATATAAAATATATATATTTCATATTTTAGTGGGAATGGTAATTTGATTCAAACACAAAAGAACAAGTCAGCATATTCTACATGAGAAATCACTATGCAATAAGATTTTGGTAAAAAAATAAGCTGTTTCAAATTATACAGAGTGAAAATACAACTAGCAATAGACAAGAAGATGGGAAGCTATTACTAAGAGAGAGTTATAGCTCAGGCCATGATATTTTATAATTTACCTCTATTTTATATTATTTAATATAATTTGTAGATGCAGAAAGTCTCCAAAGGTTTAAGAATTAATTCAATATCAAATACTTAATTGAATGGGAATTTAATGCCATAGGAAAGTATCTCTAGATCCAGGTGCATCTGCCATCTCTCCAAACTCTGTATTTACTTTTTTCAGCATAAATTACATTAGATTGGTGTGGAAATAATTATCTTCCTTTAAAAAATTCTTTATATATGTATGCATACATATATATTTACTTCCAGAAAATATATTTATTAGAATATTTTCCAGAATAGCTAGAATGCAGAGAAAGAGGCTTCATGAATAAGATCAAACTGAAAAAAAAAAGTTTATTCCAACTCTTTTAAAGTCACTTTATTCAGATCTTAAATGTTCTTTCTGTAGAGATAATGTGGCAATTAAAAAAATGTTCAAAAAATGGAAGCAAAAGAAAAAGAATAGAAGTATAATTATAGATTCGTATAATTTTTCTTGCCATGCTTTTATGTCCATTATCTCATTCTATTTTCAAAGCAGGTCAGGAATACATATTTCCCAAAGATGAAAATGATTTTAAGAAGATCGGCCAAATGATTTTGAATTTATCAAGAGGAAACAATTGAGGAATAAAAAGGGAAATTACTGCCTCAGTACACATAGCTGTAACCATAGTTCAGGTTTACTTATTCCAGGCCTGCTGGTTGTACTACAGTATACCACCTTCCTGCCTCAGCTTCCAGGCTTTATTCATTACTGATAGGGAGACCTGAAACTCTCCTCTGCATTTCCATTTTATACTTTCTCCCAAGAGGAAGGTCACAGTGGAAAAAGAAAAACAAGGAACAAACCAACCAAAAAAAAATTTGTGCTCAGCCAGCTGCTCTACCTTACCATTTCTGTTGTTCAGCATGTCAACAGCTGAGAGGTTTTCTCCCTGAGGGATAGAAGACCAAAATCTCACTTCCACACCCTTTCTCCTGAGGCCACAGGCAGAAGGGAAGGTGGGAATGTGGTTTATTAGTAGCAGCTGCCCATACATCAGGCTCTTATTTCCTAGAACTCATTGAGTGGTGCCTAGCATTATTTATATCTTTTGGGCGCATTAAAATACTTAGGCAATTGGCATTAGCCAAACAAATTACCTGCATATTTGAAGTATCTTTGTTTCCAATATTTAAAGAAACAAAGAACTACAGTTTAAAAACTCTTGTTAGCTTTTATGAGGGTAGCTTTATAGAAATAGATTGTTAACTCAAAATTCAGAAGGAAGAAGGCAATTATGTGCCCTGAATTTTAACTGCACCAGATACTTCAACTTTGATTGACTTTCAATCATCAAAGCAAACAAAGAAAGGAATATCTTGAAGATTATCTTAAGGTCAACTACAGATACCCATTGACTGCATATTATAAATGAAGAAGAAATCCAAATGTTTTATTGCTTATTCATGTTGTTGTTAGGTGTCACCAAGTAGTTCCAAACAATAGTGACCATATGTGCAACAGAGTGAAACACTGCCCAGTCCTGCACCATCCTCAGAATTATTCCTCTGCTTGATGTCATCATTGTAGCCACTGGGTCAATCCATCTAGAAAGTGCCTTAAGTATGTAATTAATTTAATTCTCCAAAATCTCTTTCACAAAAAGTATAGATAGGAAAAATCTAATGCTTACTTATATCGCATATGCATATGACACAACCTTGCTTGCAGTGAGTGAAAAGCCCTTGAATCACATTCTGATGAAGGTCAAAGATTACAACTTTTAGCATAGACCACGTCTCATCCTAAAGAAAACAATATTCTTCACAACTGAACTAATATAAATGGATTAAGTACTGAATTTTCCAATTATTTTATTATATTTAGATCCACAATTAGGACTCATGGAAGAAGCAGTCAAGAAATCAAAAGATCTATTTTGGGCGGCAACTCTGCTATAAAAGATGTCTTTAAAGTGTTAAAAACAGAAGACATCATTTTGAAGACTAAAATATTTCTGACCCAACCATTTAATTTTCAGCCAACTCATATGCAAGTGGAAAGTGCACAAGAATAAGCAAAAACCAAAGTAGAATCCATGCCTTTCAATTATGGCATGAACAAAGAATAGTAAATGTACCACGGTCTGTCAGAAGAAGGAGCACAGTTATTTCAGAAGTATTTCCAGAATGCTCCTTAAAAGCAAGGTTAGTACTACTTCACTTTATGTACTTTGAATGTGTTATCAGGAGGGACCAGTCCTGGGAAAGGACATCATGGTTGGTAAAGTTTCAGTAAAAAAGAGGTAGACCCCTGATAAAATTGATTGACAGTGACAGCAACAATGGGTTCAAACATAGAAATGAATTGTGAGGATGATGCAGATCAGCATAATGTTTTGTACTATTGTACAAATCCTCACTGAGTTAGAACAAATTCAAGGGCACCTAAAAACAGCATCAATATATGAGTCTACATACATTATCCATTTTGGCTTCCTTCAATCCTTTATGTACATGCTTTTACTCCACATTCTTACTGGGAGGTGCTCTTTTCAGTTTTCAAGATGAGTATTTAATTGTATCTTTATATTTTTTATTGGTATTTCCTTGGTTGATAATGCAGTCAAACCTAAATTAATATGTTTATTGATTGTGTTAGATGGGCTCTCCAGAGAAACAAAACCAGGACACTTATGATTTTATATATA